CGCCTCGGGCGACTTCGGTAAGTTGTGGAAGGTCCCGCGGGCGTGATAGGCCGAGGGGAGCGGAGACGCTTCCGACCTTTAAACACGCGCGCTCGGGAAGGCGTCTCCAGCGTCAGCACAGACTCCTCGCTGCCGCCTCGTTTCTCTTCAGTCGGACCCTGAGACAAGTTGCCGAGGCTGCATTTTACCTCCAGGTTTTCCTACTTGGAAGTGTCCGGGTGTAGCCCACCGTCGGAGCCTTCCCGGTGTCGGTAACGAGCTGTCCTCTCCCCCTACCCCGCAGGAAACGTGCCCAACGAGAAGATCGCGATATGGCTCAAGGACTGCCGGTGAGTCCCCGCCCGCGCCGCTCGCGTCGCGGAGGGAGATCCACGCAGCTGGGGCGCAGTCCCTGTGGGTCCCACGGTCGTCGTAACTATAAACCGGAAAAGTGAGCCTGCGGATAGCTTCCTCCTTTAAGCGATTAGAAATGGAAGCGCTGTGACCGCTGATTATTTGATGACCGTGTTGCCTCTACAGAGGTTAGAAGTTGAGCTCCGGTGCGTGATGTTAAGTTAGCATCAGCGATCGCAAACCTAAAACAGATCCTCGTGCCGTGTTGTTATGCTTGCCTTCTTTTTATTCGAAAGGATTTTCACATTTCACACAATATTTCATTTTGCTTTTGTTTTGACATCTGTACATCTGGCCTTAAATCATTTCCCTTTCAAATGCATTTTAGATGAGTTGAATTTACTTAACTGCGCTACACTAACCGGGCTTTGATTCTGGTGTGTGCCCTAATTCTATTTGGAGAGCTATTAAAACTAGCCAACTTTGTTCTTGTAATTTACTCCTTGGAAATGCATTTGTCAGATGGTGCTGGAATTCACGGAAGGGAAATAGAGCTTTGAAGGCATTCAGACTGCATAAATCTGTTTAATTACATGTTTTGGCAACTGGTACAGAAATGTTTGATAAAGTATGGAGGAGATGAATCATATTGCAATTAAATCTTATGACAGTGAAATGTGCTTGTTTCACATTTTAATTATTTTTTTCCAGTTTATTGCAACTTATAAAATCTCGAATGGAGAATGTTACTTTTTAACTTTGGTTAAGATGTTTGCTTCTGCACGTATTTTTTGCCAGACATTTTGGGCTTTTCTTAATCTTTGGTTCAAGTACTAGACTTTGGGAAGCCTTTTGGGGCGGAAAGAGAAGTGATTCTCATATATGCCAGTTTATTTTTCTTTCCTAAGGATACATAAAACAGTGGCCACTACTTCATTGCAGTCCTGTTTTGATGAATTGCTTGGAGCCTTCCTGAACACTCTTTATTACAGAACTCCTTAACCTTTATTGGGGGTGTCATAGACCCTTCTGAGATAGGATAAAATGTATGGACCCTCTGTCTAAAGATGCACAAAAAATGTGTAAGGGCAAGAGAAGAATCACATTATGTTTACTTTATGATGTAAAGGAATTAGATTGTATAAGAGATTATATCAAGTACATAGTAAATAAGTGCATCTTTTAAGATAAATGCAGTAAACAAATATTAGTATTCACCAGGACACATATCATGTCTGAACATTACAGAACTTTTATCGCTAATCTTGATTTATGTAGGCAGATTCTATAGTCTGCCACTCCTTTCCTCCTTTTTGTTCTCTACAGTTGCACCTGTTCTGTACAAAAGTGGCATTCATTTGTACCTGGGAAAGTTAGAACAAGTTTTTTAATGTTGGCTTTATTATCACAGATTTGACTTCGAGGATATATGCAACTGTATTTTGTTTTTCTATAACAATTTAGGATCCTCCCCAGAATTGAGCATCTGTCTGCTTTGTACATTATAAACAAATGATCTGACGACAGCATTTTTTCTTGATAAGTTCTCAAATGGTCTTTGTTTTCTTATTGCTGTCCATATCTTGAGTACTAGAGATACCATGTTATCTTTCCTCAAAGGGAATCTTTATTTTGATGACCTTTTTTTTTTTTTTTTTGACTAAGTGGAAACAAATTGGGTGAATTAGCATCTAAGAAGAGAGAGTTTTTGACAGAATTTGGAAGAGAGCAATTATAAGAATGAGAGACTTGTGTTTGAACGAGAATATCATATTCTGCTTATTTGCCACTTTCTTAGTGCACAGACCAGTGGCTACATCTGCATAAGAGTAATACAGTGTTCTATTTTTTTTTTTAAATATATCTTTATTGATTTCAGAGAGAGGAAAGGAGAGGGAGAGAGAGAGATAGAAACATCAATGATGAGAGAGTCATTGATCGAGCCCACAACCCAGGCATGTGCCCTGACCGGGAATCGAACCCCGGTCGCCTGGATCCTAAGTCGATGCTCAACTGCTGAGCCTTGCCCAGCCGGGCAGTGTTTTGTTCTAACTAAAGACAGGAGCCATTGAGAAAAATGACTTTTTTGATGGCATAAATTAGAGTTTTATTAAAATATATGCAAAAACTTAGCTGAAAGATTTTATTAATATCTTTATGGAATGTTATGATTCTTTTACTAAAAAAGAATAAAAAGCACTAATTTTACTCAAAAAACTAAATTTTAAAGAACTATTGCTGTATATTTGTCTGTAGAAAGTCAACATTTAGTTGGCATTTCAGTAACATTTATTTGAAACTGATATTTTCATGTTGATCCTGTGTCTGATGGAATTTTTAACAGGTATAAATTGTTATGAAAGTAGAACTTTCAAACTAAAACAATCTATTTCTTTAATGTAGTTTTGAGAAGGAAGTGGAAAACTTTTTTTGCATTAAAAAAGAGATGTTTAAGTTATCTATGAACTACAAGAATGTGGAAGGGTTTTAATAATGGCTAGTTCTTAAGGTTGATTCTCGAAGCCGACTTTTTATTTTCAGAGTTAAATGAAGAATATATGTACTTTTTAGTTTAAAAGCAGAAAATGAATCTCCAGCCTCTCCATTTATATCAATAAAGATAGTTGGGGTGAGGGAGGTGCCAAGTGCTGCTCTAAAATGCTGGTGACTGATTTAACAGATAAGGGTTAAGAAAGCTGTTGAGCTTTATTCCTAACTACACTCTGACTTTTTAATTTTATTGAGATAAAGATTTGCTTTCTTTTAATTCTGTTTCCTGTTTCTAGGGAGCAGACTGAGGGAAGCGGACATTTTCTTAATTCCTGCTGTCATTCTCTTTTTCTGTTTCTGTAAAGAAAGTCCCAGTTTATATCATTTGTAATTCCCATTCTTGCTCTTAATTGCTGGCAGATCAGATGTGTGATTAAAGCATTCCTAGTAAACTGACTTGACATAGGTATTTGCTTAGTTCGTAGCATATTACTTATGTAATCCTCTTGCATTCCTTGTGTGTTTGGGAGGAGAGTTACACTGTGATTAGAAGCTTGCTTAGCTATAACCCTTTCAGTGTTAGGCTTGCAGTGACAGCTCTCCAGACAGCTTTCAAGACTAAGGTTTATATGTTTATGTGGTTTCAGAACCCCTTTGGGAGCCTCACTGGATGAGCAAAGCAGTAGTACACTCAAGGGTAAGAAAAAGTTGCTTTTCTAAATCTATCTTTTTGTGAGGGTCCTGTTTCATTTGTCCTCTGAGTGAAAGTGTGTATATATATGAATTATAAAAGTGATATTCATGTGTAAAATATGTTGTTCTGCGATAGAGGACAAGAGGGAGAAATCTTGTCAATAAACTTCAAAACAGTGGTGAGTTTAAGCAAATTACCAAACATTTCCAGTGTGAAACTCTTATTTTTATTGTCCAGATAAAGATGATATAAAGACTAATCAGGTATAGAAATATGATATGTGAACATGAGGAAAATATATATTGAGTGAACTAGATCAGCTTTAGTGCAGCATTTCTTTGCTTACATTAACTGAAATCGCCACACCTGAAATTTTACCACCTGTGCAAGACAGAATTGTAAAGTTCAAAGTACGACAAGAATGTGCAGGTAGTGGCAAGGCATATAAGAAACAATCAGGAAAATCTAGCTTGAGCTCCTGACATAATATAAGGGATGTGAAAGAAATGATTGCTCAGGATCTGGTTTTCCATGAAATTCTTGGGTAAGATAATGTTATCTATTTGAACATCTGCAAAGGTATGAGTATTAAATGGCCTGTAGATCAGCTTCTAAGAACTTTACCTGGCTGCAAATCATGGTTTCTTTGTGATAAAGTTTATACTTCTTAAAATTGTGTAATCAGAATAATTTTCTGAGGGTGTTCAGGTCTGAAACACTTTACTGTTTCATATATTTTACTTGGTCAATTTGGTTTACTAAGACAGTGATTGTACATGGGGGTCGGAGGAACAGAACACCAGGATGAATCTTCTAATGTTTCTTTCAGGTGTGCTTGTGAGAAATGGAGGAAGTTTTGAAGATGATTTGTCGCTGGGAGCTGAAGGTATGAAAAACCATTGTGGAGTGTTCATGTGTCTTCCTTGGAGTTAAATTCTTAAAGGAGCTGTTTGGAGGCAAACTGGTGATGTAACTGGGGGAAGAACTGTCCTGCAGAAGGAAAGAAACTTAAATATTTATATGTGAGAAAACTAAATTGAAGCTTATTTTTAGTATGAGGTAGCCTTATGTCAGGCTTACAGCTGCAGCTTGTATTTCTCTTTGCTTTCAAGTGTCTTCTGTCTTTCCCCCTTCCTCTTTTTCCAGATTTTTAGGAGATTAAAAGATAAAAACAAAATAGAGTTACTAGAATTTTGTGAGAAATAATTATGCTGATGTCTTTTCCAGACTGCATTAGCATTTTAAGTGTATTGTGCTATGTTTAAATTTTCACAGATTATATAATCTTTTTTTGTGGGTTTATAATAAAGCTTTCCACAATGTAAAATTAAGAACTTATTATTTTATTACTTTACTGGTATTTTAAGATTATTGGTAGCTGTATAGATGGGTTATTAATGCAGTATGCTTTTTCTTAAAGAATTAAGGATTTTATTAAATCTTTTAAAATTGTAATTTGATGAATAGTGAATTTATCCACTGAATTTAATATCCTTGACCTTTTTCTGTATAAAATCAATCTACATGATTTAGAACCTTCTAGTAAATATTGAAAAGTCTAGAATATGTTAGTTATTATTATCACTGTTATTATGCTTTCAAGGAATAAACTCTTTGTAAGGAACTTAAACTTACTGCTTTCCAGTCACTATAGTTGAACATGTTTTCAACCCATTTTTAAATGCATTTCTGTATTACTGTAAATAACACTGACATTTGTCTTAGTAGTTTCTTTGAAATATGGAATTATTTTTTAAGCCTTTATTTTTTTAGAGCAATTTTAGCTTCACAAAAAAGTTGAGGGGAAGGTACAGAGATTTCCCACGTACTTCTGTCCTCATTATCAACATCCCCCACCACAGTGTTACCTTTGCTACAATCAATGAACCTACAGTGAAGCATCATAATTACCCAAAGTACATAGTTTATGTTAGGATTCACTCTTGGTCTTATTTATTCTGTGGGTTTGGATAAATGTATAATTACATATAGCCATCACTAATATATAGCATATATTTTCAGTACCCTAAAATCCTCTGTGCTCTGCCTGTTCATCCATATTGAATGATTTTATAGGAAACCAGATCCTGAAAAGGTATTCCAGAAAAGAGTGGAGTTATTATGTTGTTTTACTGAAAATTATTTCAAAATTATTTTTATTCATTCAGTTAAATATTCATTGAGTTGCTATGGGATCTTTCTGGTTGATGTACAAAGAAACATAAGAAATTGCCATGACTTTGCAGATCAGAAATGAAAACATAAATCTGGTGTGCTGGAATAGATGTTTTAAATTAATTTCATTCTTTATGTTTGTGTAAGAAAGTTAAATGCAGTAAATTTAACTTACTTTAAAACTTAACATTAATGACACTTATCTGTGTAGAACTTGTAAGTCTGAGATAAACTTGAAAGGCAGTTTTCAAAAGAAAACATGTTGAAATGAGTAGAAATTTTCCAAGTATGTGCATTAAACAGTGGTTGTAACTGGAGTGAATTTCCAGCCTTAAAAAAAAATCACATTAGAAATTGATGCATGCTATTGCCACACTTAAATAATGCTGAATCATGTTTTTGCTTTTAAGATATTCTTTATTAACAGCTTTTAAATTTAATAATTAGAACCACATATACCATACATGCTATACATCTTCTTACCACTTATTTCTAAACTGTTAAACAAAGGTTTAATTGGTTATTTATATGTCTTTTTATTTTAAACATTCAGTGGAAGTAGTTTTGCATTGCTAACTCACAAAAACAGAAACTTTCACCCTCCAAAAGCTACTGGTTTTGTTCTTATCAATCTGTATATTACTTTTAATGACATTGATTTAATGAGTCAGACAAGAGTTTGGCATATTAGGCATTTAGCAATTATATTGTGGCTAATTTGCTTTCTTGATGATTATATCATAGTAGTTGCCCTCCTACTGACATTGTACTCCACATTTTTTGTTTTTACCTATAGCCAACCAACTCCATGAAACTGATGCTCAAATTGAAAACTGGTATGTAACTGTGGTTGTTTTGTTTCTTTTCAAAAATGAAGGACATTTAGGAAAATAAGGCTTTATATAATCTAATTTTGTTTATAGCAGTAATATATTGGCCAAAGAGAGAAGACTGCAGTTTCATCAGAAAGGGAGAAGTATGAATTCCACTGGATCTGGGAAAAGTAGTGGGACAGTCTCAAGGTAACTTATTTTGAAACTTTGCCTCAGTTAATGTTGTGCTGTAGAGGACCTAGTCTTGCCACTTTTTCAAAGTTGGATTTGGCTTAATCGTATGAAATCGAAAGGAATCCAAAGTGTTTCATGGTTGGGCATGAACTGATAAGAGCATCTGCTTCTTTTTTAAATTAACATTAAATAAAAAGCAACAAATATGTGTATAGTGCTGTTGGAATTCATTAATAAGTATTTTGAGCCCTGTCAACAACTTGAAAGAGGAACTCCATAGTGGAATCACTTCTGCTTCCAAAATTCTTCATTCTGTTAGGGTCCTGAGTTACTCTGACATAAAAATCTGAATAAACCTTTCTAATTCAAAGCTTGATAGTTAAGCATAGATTTTTCTTCATACTAAACCAAAGATTTTTATAGTATAAAAATAATCAAATATGTACATGTGCCTCTGGAACCAATTATCCAGATTATTATATTAGAACCAGCATTTTCTCGGAAATAAATAGAAATTTTCTTCTCTTCATTTTTCTGTCTCTAACAGTCCTATTTTTCTCTGTGAGTCTCAGCTTGGATTATTAGTGGTATGAGAGAGATGGGATAATGTATGTTCAATCCCCAGTGGAATTAGAGTTAGAAGTTACCTTTGTGTATCCTATACTCACCTTACTCCTCCTACTTCCTGAGTGGAAGTGGGTAGGGAAGTTGAAAGTAAGCTCCTCCCTCACTTTCCTGAGATCAGGTTGTTACCTGTACTGCCTCTCCTAGGACAGCCAAAGATAGAAGAGAAGCGCAAGTCCTACTGAAGGTCACCTGGTACCAGAGTTCTACCAACTTCCTACTGTGTTTTCCCTTTTCATTTATCCTTTAATCTTTTTATTCTGTATTCTACCCCAGCTCTTCTCTAATTGTTTTATTTTAGCTGCTTTACTGGGAATCTCTTAAAATGACAAAAAAAATAAGGTGAGGAATCACTTAGAGAATGTAACGAGTGTGTTCTTATGGGTTAGCCCCTTTTAACTAACAGCTTGAGAGAATAGATATTTTTTAAGGGTTATTTATCACATTTAGTGCACAGTGTAGAAAGATACTGAAAAAAATAATGGGTTAAAGCTGTAGAGGAAGATTTTATCGTAGGAAAGCAGGAATATGTATTTATAATGTAATATGGACTATAAACTTATATCTTGGTTTTCTTTTTTCTTTTCTTTTTTGTAGTGTTTCAGAATTGTTGGAACTGTATGAGGAAGATCCTGAAGAAATTCTTTATAATCTTGGATTTGGACGAGATGAACCAGATATTGCTTCTAAAATTCCTCCCAGATTTTTTAGTTCATCATCATTTGCCAGAGGAATAGATATTAAAGTATTTTTGAGTGCTCAGATGCAACGGATGGAAGTAGAAAACCCAAATTATGCTTTAACAAGTAAGGTTTTTAAATGTTAGCATATTACTTTTAAAATTATAGCATCCATGGCAAGATGATCTTATGTTTAAAGCCTTACTAATTTCTAGAAATAGCACTGGAGATTTAATTACTGAGGTTAACACAGTAACTGTTTTACTTATTTGGAAATTTTATTATTTATAGAAGTTATTTTACCTCTTCTTCCCTTCTTCCCAAATTCTTGACTTAAGTGTTACCTTACAGAGTGACACATTCTACCTTGTGGCGCTAACTTACTTGCAAAATCTTAGGCTTATACCTATCTCCAGATGGCTTTTGTTCAAGAAAGAAAGAAGTAGGGGAGGGGCCTTGTTACTTTTAAATGAAGTCAATTTCAGGTGCTTTTCCATAAACCTAAAATAGCATGGCTAATTTGGTAATTTTTATTCATATTATATCTTTGCTTATTTTTCTCTATTCACCAGAAGTTCCCAAAAGAGGATCCCTAGGTAGTCCTTGGACCAGCTTTAAGAGATCTATAAAGCGCCCCCTCCCCAATTAGATATAAAATACATACTTATGTATACTTTATTAGGGGAACATTTGGAAGAGTCTTAGTGGAGTCCAAGACTTAAAAACAATCACAGCTGTAGATCAAAACCTAGTCCTTGTATTTTATTCAATGTTATCATCATGCTTTGTGCTTCTTTCTGATTTTTAAAACTATAAATTCTGGTGCTTCGAGTGAAAAATCTTCACTGTAAATGTAGAGAAGTTATAAGTGTTCAGTAAGGGGGAAGAAAAAGATCCGGTTTCATGATCTTTTTTATCTAAGTGCGGTTACTAGAATTCTGAACACTAGTCATGGTTTAATATGTGTGTGTGTATGTGTGTGTATATATATGAAAAACATGTATGTATAATTAACACTTTTTTCTCTTTGTAGGTCGTTTTCGTCAAATAGAAGTGCTTACTACTGTGGCCAATGCATTTTCTTCTTTATATTCCCAAGTCTCTGGGACTCCCCTGCAGAGAATTGGAAGCATGGCCTCAGTAGCCTCTGGCAAGGAGACAGACTCGCCTCCACCTTTAACCCGAAGTAACACTGCAAATCGCTTAATGAAAACACTATCAAAACTAAACTTATGTGTTGATAAAACAGAGAAGGGAGAAGGGAGTACTCCTTCCCCAGCCATTGAAAAAGGAAAGATTCTGAATGCTTCTGTGAGCGAAGAAAGTGGCAGTAAAAATGACCCAAAGTCTCAAAAAATTGTAAAGAAGAAAGATTCATCTTACATGTTGGCTACAGTTAAAGAAGAAGTATCAGTTAGTTCAGCTATTATGGAGCATGCTGACGTTGATGATAGACTTTCTGATGAAGCAAACAGTAATTTTAACCAAGAAACTGAACGTGAACAAAGTAAAGAAACTCAAAGTCGTGATGAACTGCGTGAGGAATCTGGGATTACAGGATCTGATTTAGGCAGCGACTTCAACCGGGCCAGCCACAGTGAGCTGGAAAGGAGCAGCGAAGTGAAGGATGTCCACGTGTCGACAGCGGAAAAGGAGCCGTGCGCTCCCCTGCCGATCCCGTCCATACGAAGCATAATGGTACAGCAGAAGGACTCCTTTGAAATGGAAGAGGTGGGTAAAACATTACTGAGAACTGTTTCAAATCGTAAGTTAGAAAAAAAGTGTCAAAAAAATGCTTTTAAAATGAAAGATGGCTAATAGGCTTACACTAGAAAATATCTTGATTTTGACTTCCCTGGTTTTTGTTTTGTGTTTCTCAAACCAAGAAGTCGTCACAGGAATTTGGAGTCAGGGTCATGGTACAGTTTATCAGCTCCTCTAGATCCTGTGTCTTCCACTGCTGATACTGTACCCCCTTCCTCTCAGTTTAAGATTTCGATGCCCTGAGAAAGCCCGGAGAGAATGTTCACATTCAAGTCAATATTCCATAATAGTTAAAAACACAGGCTCTGAAGTCAGACAGGTTTGAGTTCTGCCTCAGCGACTGAATTGGTGTGTTCCTTTGTGCAGACTTTCATTGATGTATTTTAGTGGAAGGGGCCTGGAAAGCACAGAAAGGTACTTGAAGGGGGCGGGGGAACCTCTCCACAAGGAGGCTTGAAAGGCACTGAACAAGATTTCTGCAAGTCTAGAAAGGCAATGTTTGGTTGCTTTTTTCTTTTACCTAGTGATAGTTCTGCTACTTTACAAAAATTTTGAATTGGACAAGATAAAAATAATAATTTTGGTGAGGTTCATATTGCACTGCTTTTGAATAGTGGGAGCTGATACTTTTGAGTTGGATCCAGCTCTATAGCTTGGGGAAGGAAACTGAAGTTTATGACAGGCACTGTATTAGGCCCCTGAAGTGCTTCTCTCTCTCAGTCTGAGAGGCAGGCAGCGGTGGTCTCATTTTAGTAAGGCGTATATGTACTGCTGAAGAGTTGTGGCTATAAATTATGTGCAATTTTTCTTTTTAAAACATTATAGAGTGGTTTTACATATAGCTCACAGTAATTTTAGAATCATATGTCATTATATTAGGGAATTGGAAAATGGGGTAATTGATTTTGCCCATAAATGCCCCTTAGGTGAGTGTATCTCTCATTAGCGAAGATTCTTTATTACAAAATTTCAGTTGTTGATAAAGCTATTTACCTCTTTGTGGTCTTTGAATATATCTTTTAATACTTTATTTCCAACTTAAAAATGAAATAAAAAGAGCAGGAGCAGCCCTTAGAAATATTTAACATTTTTTGTAAGTTTTTTTTAATCTTTTATATATTTTCATATTTATACTCTTTAGTTCCTAATATATTTCTTATAATTTGGAAAGTGACTGAAACTCCTTTTTATTTCATTTCATTGTTCGATTTCTTTTTTGACTTTGTGATCAAAACTTGTTCTAGCACTCATAATTAAAGTCTAACTTCTTGCCTTCCATTAGGGCCCTTCTCCATGACAATCAGATATGACAGTTTTCTTGTTTTAATACAATAGCAGAGTATAAAAATTTAAACAGATTATGTTAGAGTCTTGCAAATCTGTTATCGTGACTCAGATGAGAAGACTCTTACGCTGCTTTTTAATTTCTAGAATTCCTGAATTCTAAGCTGTAGTTTTAAAAAAATTATTGATACCGTACACATAAAAGGTCTTGAAAAATGTTTATAAAGTGCTAGATAGATGTGGTTTGGCCTCAAGTTAGCATTTAATGTTAGGTCTGTTTTTGCTCCCTCTGCTGGCAAAAATCACTTAATGAAAAGAAAGTAATGTGACAATTTAACATTTTTTCAAAGTATAAGATTATAGGCATTGGTGGTTGAAGAATAGTGGAATATTTTGTTTTCAATAAAAATATATGGTCAACCATAGCTACATTGTAAATACGGGGAGTTTTTAAAATGATGAATCCTTCTTCAGATGTATTTGAAACATGGATAAAAGCTCCTAGAATTGTGTCTTAATCTTTTTGGGAACTTTAACGAGCTTGTAGAACAATGGATAAAGAAGGGAAATGTGTTTCTTTCATTTCCTCCCCTCCCAAGCATGATTTGAATCATACTGACAAATAAAGAGAACAATCTTATTGAAGCAAACTGTTAGATCCCATTCAAAGTGTTACTATTTTTCTTTTGGATTCCTTTCCCTTGAGGTTTGATTCCTATTGGGAAATTTCTTCCTGTAAAAACAGGGAATAAACATAAGTCAGAGTGCAAACTGTCTCTCCCTCAGTAAGCTAGTTTTCAGAGTAACTGACTGCCAGCTGCTTTGGGAAGTAGGTAGGAGAAAATGCTACAGACCCAGGCCTGATCCCTTTGAGGCAGAAGGTAAGATCAGACAGTCACCAGTAGCAGAGAGAGGAAATATTTAATTGTAAAGAAAGTTAAATAGATGACAAGAATGACCCTGGCCTTGGACAATGAAAGCGACTATTTCTTATGCTAAGAAAGAGAAACAAAAAGGCCATAGACTATTTTCAATGAAAAGTTAGCTTACCTTATAAAAAATGTCTTGTAGTCTATTTGAAATGTTTCAGTGTGTCTAAAAGTTGTAAAATCTACTCTTGAGTTTTCTAATTCTTAATTACTTGGCCTGGATAATTCTTGTGTTTTTAAAATGGTTTATTTTGAATGAATACATCATGGTAGCTCCGTACAGCCATAGTTTAGTAGTATGAATGATTCACAGTTAAACCAAAATGATTCTACTCATTAAGCAATTGTTCTTCTTTTAGGTGTAAAGTAAAAATTTGTCATACTTAAATGTGAGAGGAAGGAAGACTTTTATCTGTCTATTTCTCTGAATAGACTGTTTGGTGTCTTCTCACTCTGAATGACTCATTGTTGTGTTACAACGTTGATGCCATAGGAACTTAACTCTTGTCCATATCACCGAGCCTGTGATACATTTGGTTTCGTTGTACATTGTTTCACTTAAAGTCACAAAACCTATACCCAATGTTAAGTTAGGACTTACTGTACTTATTTTAGCCTTTTAAAAATATTTTTTGGCCTGAGTTAAAATAATCCCCAATCAATCATGCTTGATAGTTAAGTTGTCTCTTTGATCTTTCAGATTTAACTGTATGCGTTTTGAAGGCAAGTATTGTGTCTGCAATAGCATATGAGCTTTAACACATGACATACGCACCAATGGCTGTTACTTCAAAGCCTGGTTAACCACTAAGTTTTGTTATTTGATATTTATCTAAAACAGCAAGTTTGGTGTTTTTTTTAAAAAGTATTTACGTAACAGTAAAAATAAATCATATATATGTATGTGTGCTTTTAAAACTTGAAAGATTTTTTTTAAGTATAAAAATTTGCAGCTAATTGTAGAATTATAAATTAGCAGAGAATGAGTTAGCTCTTTGAATTCATTTTCCAGTTTTCACCCTTTTCAGATAAAGAAGCATTTTCCCCTCCCTAACATTTGATGTTACTTGACTGCAGTGGTTCTCCATTATATTTCTGAGGGTAGTTATGTTCCCGTTGATATCAGTGCCTCATTGAAGGGAGGGGCAAGGGGGTTTCAGTATAGGGAATTCCTGTAGGGCAGAGAGAGATTTGTTGTAAATCTTTCCCACTTTACTGTTTCAAAATACTTATAATCATATTTGACCATCCTAAGGACCTGTGAGGTAGGAGTTTCAATTTTTAATTTGCAGTTAAGGAAACAGATAATTATCACAGATAATTATCACAGACATTGGACAAGACCTCATGCCATCGGATGCACAGCCCTATGCTACTACTTTGGAAAAATAATGCTCTCCTTTAATTTTTTTGAGATGTCATTAAAAATAGGCAGAATTGTAATTTCTAAAGCTCCAGTTTTGACTTTCTTTTTTTAAAAAAACAAATATAAAGGTCTTTTTAAACCGTAGAGGAAAGATTATTTGAGTTAGAACATTCCACATACTGCTGCTCTGTAAAACACAGTACAATAGTATTGTACCTAAAAGATAAGTGTGACAGGTGTTAAAAAAACAAAGTAGGTGTCTGCCATGGTAGCATGACATTGATTCAGAAGTCTTTGTTTTATTAAAACATTTTAGAAATGAAGTAACTCAAATGTATGGGTTACTTTTAAAGCTGTTTTCATACAGCTTTAAATCCCAAAATATTGAGACCAAGCGATTTTGTCATTTTGGTTTGTTATTTTGGCTTTGCGTGTGTGTGGTGTTTGTCTGTTTTGTAATTTTATTATGAAAAGTTTCAAGCTTACCCAAAGATTAGATAAAATAGTGTAATAAACACCCATTATCCATCACAATTCTCTTATCATTTTTGAGCTATAGTTAATTTAATGAAAGACAACCTATAGCAAATGACCAGAATTCTACCTGGAATTGAAACCACTGAATAGGAAAAATCATGCAACATAAATCTAAGTTCTGTGTTTGTGTCATAATTTTCTGTGGTGCACCCCATCTCAAATATGACTGCTTTCTTTTGCATATCTATGGCTAATGATAAAGCATAATCTATGAAATTCAGCCATTTTCACTAGTGTGTCTGTTTTTGCCTTCAACAAAGTGATTGATGATTTTCTGAGTAAATGGGCAAAAGGATCCTGACTTTAATAGTGTCATTAGTAAAATATGACCACAGCTTTTTTTGGGGAGGGTATAAGGGTCTTTTTCTTTTAATCAGTTGTGGGGTTTGTGGTAAAAGGAGAGAGGGAAGGGGGTAGATTGGTTATTTTTTTGCCATAGAGAAGCATCTTGAAGGATAGTATACTGAGGATACATACTCATTAAAGTCATATTATTTTTCACTAATTTTGTAAATCTAAGGAACAGAAAATGATAATTCTGTATTTAAGAATGAGAGCATATAATTTGTTGTATCATCTTGCTGTGCCTAAATTAAGATTCCTAGAATATAATTAAAGAGACATTTATATTTCTTTTATACTTCTCTGGTCTGTTTGATATAAAACTCTTTGAAGTAGGCCAGGCTTAACTAGAGACTAATAATAGACCCTTTGTTGAATATAAAAAGAAAATGCATTTTGTTTCCTTGCACACAAAACAATGGTTTTCCTGTTGAACTTATGTCTGCTGCTTTGAAGAATATGTTACAGTGTTTCAATAACAAAGAATAGTAGAAACTGTTTTATATATGATTTATGGGTGATGGGTTTAAATGGCCAGTGTGCTTTCATTTTTCAAGTCATAAACTTGGATTCATGGAACTGTTTAGACAAATATATCACACACACAAATCTGACCAATTTTTAAATTAGGTAATAGCGTCTTTAACCTCTGAGTTTTTTTTCATGTTGGTCATTCCACTCTCATTTACATGGAATTTATTTATTTCCTTTTCTTGAATGGGTTCATAGCTCAAAACTGCAGGGTTCTACCTAAAAACCTGTTTGCTATTTGCTCTCTGATTTGTTCAAGATTGAAATCCCATATGTTTGGCTAGTTTGCCCACATTACTCAGCTGTTATTTATTATTTTAAGGACTAATCATTACAGGATTTAAAGTGTTAGGAATTAGTATTCCCCCTACCAACCAGCCAGTGTTCAATCTTAATATAGAGTTAGTTATGTTAGAATAGTGGGTGTGGTAACTAAGGAATCTGAAAATTCCTAAATTATGCCGTTGTGCAGGTGGGGAAAAGAAGACAGTGTAAAGAGACAACTTTTGTGGGTTTGATACCTTCTTTGGACAGACTTTTCAGGGAAAATTTATGGTTAAGGATCTTTCAACATTTTAGTTCTGTAATGAAACCTGCTTTTCCACTTAAAACTCCCAAGTTATGTCTTAAAAGAACAATTATCTCTGGACAGAGAAGTCTTACACATGAGCGATTTTGATGCCTAAAATTTGGGGGATTTTGTAGAATTTTGCAGTGGGAGCATAATGTGCCATTTGTCAAAGATGCGGGACTTGTACTTGTCTCAGCTGTGTTTCAGCCATGCCATGGTCTGCTACAGTGAGTCTGTTAGCATTTCTCCTGGGACTGACCTTACACTTTGAAGCTTAACATTTAGAGAAGAACTTTTTTTTTAATGGACCTTCTTTTCATATAATAGCAACTTTTTAAAATGAGGTAGTTTATACATGTAGTCATTTTTCTTTGCTAGCTATAAACTTGCACTCCGATTGTTAACTGGAAAATAGATTTGGGACATTCTAGTAATCCTGAGATAAAATCTCTTGAAGTTTTTAAAGGTGTGAAGCTTTGGTACCCTTTTAGTTAGGTTGATTTGTTTAATAAATGATTATTAAGAGGTATTCTTCTTTGCCATAAATTCTTTAAGTTTTAATTACTTAAAACTCTTCTTTAGGTTCAAAGTACGGAGGGAGAAGCTCCTCATGTTCCAGCCACTTACCAGCTAGGCCTTACTAAATCGAAAAGAGGTAAGTAGACCATTGTCCACTACATCCCAAGCACATTACCCAAGTGTCCACAGTTGATTTGGAAAAGGGGTTTTATCTACCAGTATTTGTGGTAGATAAAAGTGTAAAACGACAGTTGAGACCACAGGTATGCATGCTTCATTATGTGGTTTGGTTATAGAATTTTTTGTATTCTTCTTGAAGACTTTTGTTCACATAAAGTAATTTTATTTTGCTTATTCTGAAATGACCTTGTTATACAATTCTGTGCACTTTAAATATTTTTCAGTTCTGTTTAGGGCTAGATGGAAAGTGATAGAGCAGCAGATTCAAGTCTGCATTTTTATGTGGTTATGACTGAAATATATACCTGTGTTACCTACCTCTGGGTTTTCATTATTTACATATGGCTCTTAGGTATGATACACAAATATACCTCCGGCAGTAAAACACCTACGTCTCAGCAATAGTTAAAGCTAGTTAAATTAAATTCAAACTATGGATCAAAGGTGAGTGGCTGTAGATGTCGTTCTTCTCTTGAATTATTAATTATTGACCAAAGGACCTTTGAATCCATTTCTTTCACTTTTAATTTACAACACGAAAAGTATGTATGAGCTTCTTTAAAGTCACAAAGCTTTTGAGATTTAGAGAAAAGGAGAGAAGAAGTAGAGAAGTTAAAACGACTACTGAAGGTAGGACTGTTTATTTTTAAAACTTTACACATGCTGAACCACCCTGGTTTTTTTTAAGCAAAGATTCATATGTATGTTCCTAGAATAGGAAATTACATGTTTGTTTTCTTCTGATCTCTGAAATGACTTCATAAGAAACAATTTGCATATAATTTTTCTTTTATTGCACTGTGGTACTAAAAAACAAGAGCTCCACTTAACTAGGTCACTATAGTTCTCGTCAGACACAGAACAAATTTTACTATTTAATTTTCTTCCCCTTGTAAGTCCATAATGTATGTGTTTCTGAGATGTAAGGCAGAGTTCACAACCGTCAAGGAATCTTTGTTTTAGATAGGTAGACAAGGAATACATGTGTCAAAACGGGTGATAGTATCTTTTACCTCTGGGTTTTTTTCATATTGGTCATTCCATTCTCATGCCTATGGAATCTTTCTTATTCTTGAATGGATTCATACCTCAAAACTTTCAGGGTTCTCCCTAAACCCTGTTTGCTATTTGCTCTCTGATTTGTCCAAGGTCAAAATCCCTTATGTTTGACTAGTTTGCCCACATTACTAGGATGTGGGCAAATTTTATATATTTAAATAAAAAACAGTATAATTACTTTAAGATCTTCCAAGAGTAAGCTTCCTGTGGTAGGAAAGATGGAATGTGGTTTGCGTTCACCTCTGGGTTTCTTCCTTTTATTGACATAGGGTCTCTTATTTCTGGTGGCACGAGAAAGAATATTAACATTTTTATAAATTAACAGTAAAATGGTTTTGTGTGTGCATGAGAGAGAGGGAGAGAGAACAGTGTAGTGTTTTAGTCATTTTTGAAGGTAGCCTATCAAATTTTGATAATGCAAATATTCGTGAGTATCTTAGAGTAATCATAATTGCAGAATTAGAATCACTGCTAGTATGTTTAGTTTACAACTTTAATAAAAATGCATATAGTGTATGTATAAAAATATTTTACACTTTACTGATAGGACTTTTGAGATTATAATGATCTTAATCTCAAATCCAGTTTTGGGATTTACACACTGAAGCTCAGAGAGGTTTAGTGACTCAACTCATGTCACAAGCTAACATTCCATAAATATTTTGAGAACAGTGCAAAATTTTCCTTATTAGAGAAGAGAAGCAATATTTTCTTTAGTCTAGCAGAGTAGATAGGTACTCTGTTTTGTTTCTTTATGATACTGGTCAAATGAAATGTCCAGATTTTGTTTTGTTCTCACTTTAATTAGTTTGCTCTAACTTCCCAGTTTTTAATTAGAAATGCCATTTCTTCAGATAGGACTGAGGTCTCTTTCTTTTTAGTTCTACCTTTTTCTGTGGAGAGCAGTACTTTTTGTGAAATGGAAATGTCTGACTCAAGAACCTGAATTGTGATTTATAGGTTACAGAATAGTTTTACCTGCATTGCACTTAGTTCCTAAAGTGAGCCTGTGAGATAGACTATTACTCTGTTTTGCAGAGGAGAGAGATTGTTGCTTATAGAAATAAAGTAGGAGCTTGAACCCAGGCCCCCTTGTTACTTCCTCTATCCAGCACCTGTAGACTGAGCAGTCTACACTCAGATCTAACCTTTGTGAACTCAGACAGGACTAACCATGGAGAGGTGAACTCGGCACAGATATACTGCATTGCAGATAGAACAGATCTTAGCAGAGAGAACCTGAGCATGGCTGGTCACTCAGGCTTCCCTGCGCTCTCTGGCAGCTTGCCCTTTGCCCAACGAGATAGGCAATTTCACTTCTAAATCCTTTAAGTGATTCCTTAATCCTGTTGTTGCTTTAAGGCGATAGTTACCATTGAGTCATTCCGCAAACATTTTTTATTGTTAGCTTGTGCTGGATACTGGGATACAATGAAGAATAAATAAGGTTCCTGCCTTGAGAATGCTCACAATGTAGTTAAAAAAAAAAGACATACAAACACATAAGGTGATAGATAACTGCTGTAACATAAGATGTTCATTGTTTTCTAATTAATATAATGCATAATTAGTACCTACAGTAACTAACAGCTCATTCCAGTTCAGTTTCACAATTATTCCAGTTTACCTAGACTTTTCAAGGATATTGGTCAGTTTCTTATATTTCATTATGCAGTATTATTAACTTCCAAATGATATTACAGAATTATTCTAAATTATTAATGAGAAAAAAATTACTCCATTCCAGATGCTCTAGGTGAAACTGAGGCTACAGTGGGATATTTTTCAAAGTCAGGCAAACTTTAATTGAATTTGGGTTTGATTCCAACATATTGTAGAGTTTTTTACTTCTATCATTCAAATCTGAAATGAATGTGGATTTGGCAAGCACTCTGTATTTAGCCTGTTGCTTTTAAAGTTCTGCAGAACTTGACTCGAAGTGTCTTCCTTAGTAAATGGAACAGTAATAAAGTCTCTCCCACTGTGGTATTTGTAGTGTGGATGAGTGTGTGATTCTGCTAATTGTACTTAGTTGCCCTTTTTACATACTTAACAATGGTTTTTGGTGTTTTTTTTAGGTTATATTAACTGGGAATTAGAGTTTGGGACCAAAAACTAAGTAGGGTTTTTATGAGATTAACAGTTTTATGTATTAGTTGAACCTGTTTCACTGAGTTTTATACAGTTGTTATAAAAAAATTGTTTCATAACTTATAAATGTTTGCATCGTTTGAAACACCAGAGACATTTAGGTACCTGCATACAAGTTATTTACCTTATTGGCCTTAATTGTATTTTTATTTTCTTATTTGGAAGGTAATAGAAGTTTTTATACACTACATTTAACTTTCTGATTTTACCTACTACATATTTACATATTTCACCTTTATATTTTTACGTAATGGAAATGGTTTATTTGGGGACTTCTATTTTTTTTAATTCAAGCAATTGTCCTCCAAGGATAAAACATTAATTGGACTTACCAAAGTACATTATAATTAGAGCTTAATTAGCAGGTGCACGTTGAGAATTTCTGATTGATTCAGTGTTTGTTTGAATTTGATTTAACTCCTGAGCTTTGAAGCCAGAATTTTGAATAAGTGATGCATATTTTTCTAAGACAGAATCAATGTTGTGTATCCTATATCTGTTGGGAATCACATATGTGTTACAATACTTTCTCACTGAGGTCATATTTAGCATTTTCGTATAACTACACTTCTTTTGGTAGATCACCTGTTGCGTACCGCCAGTCAGCATTCCGATAGCAGTGGTTTTGCTGAAGACTCAACAGACTGTGTCTCCCTTAACCATCTCCAGGTAAAATTTCCTATGTAGTTTGCACTCTGATAAATTTCTTCATGTTTGGGTGATTTTTTTAGTAGCTCTATATTTTGAGACTCAATCTGTGATAATCTTTATTTTTCAAATGACAATAAGAAGAAAACTCATTCTGGGATGCAGATATAATCTGAGCATTTAACTACAGATTTTAGGTTTCACTAATTCTTTATCTCCCTCTGACTGAATATTTAAAAACAATAAGAACACCCTTCTTTATTTTAGGACCACCAGTAAACAGAGGTTATTTTAATCATTAACCTAGTCTTGTCTGTTATTTTTCTTATTTTTTGCCAGCATTGTGTTTTAGTGTTTTCCAATAATTGTTTATTTAATAACCAATGTTAAGTGTGGACCCATAGCTTGCTGATTACTATATGATATGTGAGACTATGTTAGATAGCCAAGAGGTTAAGCACATCTCTATTCTCAAGGAGCCTATAGTCTATGTGTGTAATCCACAGAATATATGTGAAAAGTGTCTAAAACACATATGCAGATTTTAAAGAAAACTGGAGTAAGAGAAAAAGAGAACCCCAGAAAGAGCCTTTAGAAACAGCATGGGGGTAGACATATAAGAGAAGTGCCTAAGGAGACTCAAAAAATAATCCAGGGGGCAGAAAAATTGGGAGATGGAGGAGAAACTTTTCAAAGGAAAGCTATGGCCATCGGAGTGCAAAGATGAGAATTGGCTGCTTGGAAACTGAGTAGTTGAATGAATAGTTTTGATGCAGCAAATGAGGCAAAAGCACAACTGGAGAATAAATCGACGATGAGGAAAAGATATGAATGTTAACTTGTTTCAAGTAAAGACGCTAGCTTAAGGGTGATAGGTCTTTTTGTCTTTTTTCGTACTGCAGTGACTTAGGGAAGTTGCTAGGGAAGGGGTCCTAAGAGAAGAAAGTTCGATGCAGAAAACTCTGGGATGGAACTTGGGGGGAGATACCCTCATCCTGGAGAGGATATGAGCAGAAGGACAGGTTGGAGGGATTAGTTTTGAAAAGGGACACAGTTTCCTTTCAGAATGGAGAGGAGGGAATGATAGGAAGAGGTATGGGAAATTTGTAGGTGTCAGGGAAGAGAGTTAAGCAGTTTCTGTCGATTTTCTGTGAGTCAGTGTTGTGTGTTGGAAGAAAAGGAGATGGGTGTTGAAAAGGGGGTTTAAGTAAAATAATAAAAGTTCTGCAACAGTCTTAGTGAGAAATTGAAGGCGTTGCCGGCTCAGGGCTGTAAAAACAGTTTTGAACAGCTCCCAGGCCCCCGCAGAGGTGGGAGACCCTGAAAGCACAGAAGCACCATATCTCCCTGGCATTTCCTTCATGATGTTTGCCTGAGGTTTTCATCCTTCCACCTGTTTTCCTTTCGCAGGTTCACGAATCGTTGCAAGCCATGGGGAGCAGTGCTGATAGTTGTGACAGCGAGACAACAGTGACTTCATTTGGTGAAAACCTCGCCACGCCGACAGCACACGACCAGCCTTATTTTCATGAGTCTGAGGAGGAGTCTCTCGGTCCTCTTAAGGGAGGTGGGAAAGTACCAACAGTTGCCGACAGAAGGCCAGACAGCCAGGATTTCCCCCAGTGCGAGACTGCTGAGGGTACGGGAAGTAAAGAGCCCACCTGCAGCACGGGGGGTCACCTCCCCGAGGCTGCTAAAGGGAAAGAGGGTTCATCTCCAGCTCAGCCGGAGGAACTGCTGAGGGAAGCGAGCGCTGAAAGTGATGTGGAGAAAAGCAGTGAATGTGAGTTTGTGCAGTATACCACACACCATATTCTTAAATCATTGGCGTCTATTGAAGCTAAATGCAGTGAGAAGGGCTCTGAAGCTAAAACTGGGCTTCCCTCATCTGTGGACAGAGTTAATACAGCTTTGCAAAGAGCTCAAATGAAGATCTGTGGTCTGTCTAGTCAAAGAGGAGGGCGTAGCTTGATAAAATCAAAAGACCTGTTGAAACAGAGGTACTTACTTGCAAAAGCTGGCTACCCTCTAAGAAGGTCTCAGTCTTTACCCACCACCTTATTGAGCCCAGTAAGGGTTGTGTCCTCTGTCAATGTTCGATTGTCCCCAGGAAAAGAGACCAGGTGCAGTCCGCCTTCCTTCACCTACAAGTACACACCTGAAGAGGAACAGAAATTAGAAAAAGAGGTGGTTGAGCATGATGGTCAGTCTGTGGTGAAATCCACTATTTTCATCTCTCCATCCTCTGGGAAGAAGGAAGACGCCTCTCAGCAGGAGGCGAGCCAGGTGGAGGAGTGTCATCATCAAAGGACTCCTGCCTGTTCACTGTATGCTCCCGCACCTATATCTCGGTCCACCTGCTCCCTTCATTCTCTCCACTCGGAGTGGCAGGACCGGCCCCTGTGTGAGCACATGAGGACTCTGAGTACTCGCAGTGTCCCCAACATATCCGGCGCCACCTGCAGTGCCTTTTCTTCCCCCCTTGGGTGTTCTTACTCACACGGACATGCTGCCTATCCTTACCGGGTGGGCTCTGTGAACCCTCCTTCTGCCATCGAAATGCAGTTGCGAAGAGTATTGCATGATATCAGAAACTCGCTGCAGAATCTTTCACAGGTATGAGAAAAGGTGTACCTCTCTTCATGTTTTTTTTCTTCCATTGATCTGAGCACCTTTTAATTCATTGAGAAGCTAACACCCAATAGGCATGAACCTCCTCAGCTTCATTTTCTTCCATGCCTAAACTTACCTGTACCTACCCCTTTCCTATACTCCTCCCTCCTATCTCGGGAAAGGCTGTAAGTAATGCTGAACAAGGTTCATTTCTCTGCTCATAATCTTCCTTCTAGAGAAGAGATTTTGCCCATTAGGTATCCTTCCTTCTTTAGCCTCTGTTCTATTGTCTTTGTCTTAGGTTTTCCCTATTATTTAAAAAAATCTTCCCTCTCAAGTACTTTCTCTCCTTTTCTCTGCCATTTGACAGTGTTCACGACCTCTCCCTTTCTAAGTGTCCGTCCCCTTGACTTCCATGCCGCCGTGTGTTCTGGTTCTGCTCGTAGCTCTCTGACTAAGCTTTCCTTTCACCTACTGACTCCTGAGGCTGGTCTCCTGGCACAGAATTAATCTGCCTCCACTGGGTTCAAAGACTGAAACTACCTCAAAAAAGGAAAAAAATCAGGTAAAATGTGAATTCGAATATAAATGGTCTATGTGTCTTGTCACTTAAAGTCATTCCTCTTAGATCTGTTAGTGGGCTGGAAATAATCCCCCCTTAAAAGCTTTGAAAATAAGTAAATTCGTAGGTTTGCCCTTCCTATTTCATATTTCCTTTCTACACCTCTTTCTGAACTAGTTATATTCAGACAGTTAAAGAGATGGAGACAATGACTGTAATGCAGTGATCAGAGTGTTCAGCTGGCGTCAGGAGGCCTAGAGTATATAAAATAGATCTCTCATCATGATGACTGTAGACAGGGAGCAACTTTGAAAGTAAAAATTAAAGTTATGACTTTTCAAGTTATGTAGCAGTGTGCCTTCTTTTAAATATGTATTTTATCCTCATGACAATTATCTCTTAATGATTTTCAATCTAACCAGAATGTGGGTGTTTTTTTTCCTCTTTACAAAATGTAGTTCTTTTTGTGAGTCAGACACTTAACCTTTCAACTGTAATTGTGTGATGCTGGGGATTCCCAGGGCCTTGTCTGCCTGTGCCTTTCTTTCTTGGCCAGCGTGTTCTTCTGCCCTAAGTGTGGTCTTCTCCTCTTAGATGTCCCATCAATAACTGAGCTAATTAATTTCCGATCCCCACCTCAGTAGACAGATGCTCTTTGTGACCTGGGCTCTGCCCCAGGACTTATTCCTTATGTGTGTGCTCCAGCCATTAATGGACTGCATGCAGGCCCCTAAATAGTGGTGCAATCCTAGGTGTCTGTTTTTGCACATGTTACTTTTTTTTTTTTTAAACCTAGAGTGCCCCACCCTTGCCTTTCTTTGCCTGACCAAGTCCTGTTTACTGTTAAGGCTTAGCTCAGGTGTCAGCACCATTGGGAATGTGTATTCCCCTAATCTGAATTTTTGTATGTTTCCAGCATATTACTCCCCTCCACCCCAGTACTCTAATTTTTTAACTTCTCTTTTATTTCTTTCTTGTACTATGAGAACATTTAAAGGCTAGGAATGCCTATTTTTCTTCACTGCCTAAAATAGTGACATATAGTAGACGCTCAAATGTCTAAGAATGAGCAATGATGGATTGCTACTCTCTCCATCCAAGTCAACAGTTCTGCTATTTTAGAATGACACTTGCTATTGCTTCTGCATTTTTGAATTTTGTTTTTCTACTTTCTGAAGGCAAGAGGGAAGTCCTGTAAGACATAGATGAACTATACATGTTCCTTTGCTTCAGCCTTATTCCAAATAGAATGACTTTTACACCTGAAACAGATGGGATTAATAGGTAGCATGAGGGATGGATTGATTTGGCTCTTGCTTACAATATCAAGTTTTCTTTTGTTTTTAATATTTTTGCCTCAGAGAGAAAGATTTGAAGGCCTCAAATTCATATTTTTAACACTTCAGATAATTTGCAAATAGTCACTTTAATGTTTTGTAACCATGCTTTCACTTTTTTTGAAGTATCCAATGATGAGAGGACCTGATCTTACTGCTGCTCCATATAGTACTCAGAAATCATCTGTTCTACCTCTTTATGAAGTAAGTTCTTACTTAACTCATTGTGTACAGGATAATTCGTGTGATTTAGAAGTATAATTTTGTTACATTGTGTTTTAGAACACTTTTCAGGAGCTCCAGGTAATGAGGCGGAGCCTGAATTTGTTTAGAACGCAAATGATGGACTTAGAATTGGCGATGCTGCGTCAGCAAACCATGGTTTATCATCACATGACAGAGGAGGAAAGGTAAAAGTTCATTTTGTCTCAATGTGACTCAGAATGTTTTTTATTCTAAAAAGCATTGTCAACTTTTTTTTTAAACTAGGTTTTATTTCTACTGCTGTGTACCCTTTACCTATCTTGTGAGCCAGTGTAAATAAAATTCCTAAGTAAACTTCCCTGCTTTCACTGTGTTAAGGAAAGTAGTGGCCATAATCTGTTTTTAGTGTTTGGGATATTTGTGAGAAAGGCTAGATGGAGAAAGACCAACTGTCCTGGTGATCACACCTGTTGCAGTTGCTACTGTGTCAGTTTCTAAAACTTGGAATTTCACTGCATTCTCATAGCTGGTGAGAGACCCGTGACTATGAATCCCCAGACTGCTTTATTCAGACTTTGTGCCTGTCCCCATACTGACAGGTATGAAGCTGATCAGCTCCAGAGTTTGCGAAATTCAGTCCGGATGGAACTCGAAGACCTGGAACTGCAGCTGGAGGAGCGCCTGCTGGGCCTGGAGGAGCAGCTCCGCGTCAGGCACATTCCTTCACCCTTGCGCTCCTCAGCATTTGTGGTAGGTACCTGGGTGTGGACAGTAGTTTTAGTAAGGATTTGTTTATAGTGGGCCATATAATTTAAAACAAATGCCTTAACTAAAAACACTTATTTTAATGGCATTAGAGGAATGCAGAACGTTTAAGGAATCTTTCCTCCAAGTCAGTTGAATGTACATGTTGTGATTATTTTCTTAAATATTTAGTATATGTAGAAATTCATTGAAGAATTTTAGTCATAATTTTTAATAATAGAGAATAAGCAGCAATACAGAAGTTCAGGAGTTTTAAAGGAAATGACAGTGGATTAATCTCTGAAATTTAGATTTTAATTCCTTCATGGAATTGCAAAGAACACAAATATATGTTTCATTCAGTTTTTTCCCCCACTTTCTTGCCTTCAAATAAATAACTTTTCTTTAAGCTTTTCCTTTATTTTGTATTATTTTCTATTCTTTATGTTTTTTAAGGAATCAAATAAGATCTTTGTAAAGGCAAAAAGTATATACAACCAAGAGAATAAGAAACACTTTATACTTATGAAAGAACCACTCTTTATACTTCTCTTCTTTTCCATGAGACTTGAACTTCAGCAGTTGTATTCTTATTTTTGCCGATACCTTTGCAGTCGTAGAATATGTTGCTTTGAAATAGTGAACTTTTCTGTTACCTGAACAACATATTTGATTTGTTATAAATAAATGGATGATTACCACACACAGACACACACATTATGCTCAGGTATTGAATAGCATCAGTAGAATGGGGTGTGTGTGTGTGTACACATGTGTGAATAGCATAGAATAAGAATATTCTACATCATCGATGAGTAACTTTTCCCATAAAAGGTTTTGTTCCATTATTCTGAGAAATGTGTGATGGTGACAGCAGGTGTTACGTATTTACCTTCAGTCACAATAATGCATTTTATAGGATCTCGTGACAGTTAAAGGTGACCTCTCTGACATAAAGGAGTGCTTTGGGGTAATAATTAGCTTATTCATTTTATTATAAAACAGTTGCAGTTTGAAAAAACACATACACATATATATGTTCTTCCTTTTTCAGGGAATGTGTGGCAGTCGAAGCGCTGACAACTTGTCATGCCCTTCTCCATTGAATGTAATGGAACCAGTAAGCCTCTCCTTTTAAATCTCTGGGGGACCAATGACACATTTCATAAACAAACAGTTTTCTTAGTGTAGATGAACTATTTTTTTAAATACAGAATTTGATAAATTATTTAAATTGATTGGAAGTGCGTTTGGCACTTGTGAACATCCCTGGCCACCTTAGTCCACTAGAAAGCGAGTTAATTGCATAATTGACTTACCTTTATGGCCTAAAGGTGATAATGCATCATAAAAGCATTTAATTTATACTCTAGGGGGAATGTTCTTTTACAGTCCGATTCCACGTCCCTTAGGTAGTTGGATCTATAAGATGACTACTTTTTGAACAAAAGTCTGGTCTTTATCATACGTTAAACAAATTAGTTTTTGGGGGGCAGAAGCATTATGAGTCACTGTTTTGTTTTTCATTAGTTATTCTTCCTTATGAATAATTTGGACACCCACGTGGCAACAAGTAAAATTTCATTCAGCTAGGTATTCTAGTTACATAGTACATGGCTTGATCTCACTGTGAATTTAAATTTTCTTTGCTCGTTGCAAATAAAGTTGAGTAGTTACTAAATGAATGAATTAGAATCATGTCTTTACAAGTTAAGTGACTTTTGGCAATACAGCTAGGTTTTTAAATTTATTTAACTACCAATCTTAATTTCAAGAGAGAAGAATTACAATTTTTCTGATCTCCAAGGTCACTGAACTGATGCGGGAACAGTCCTACCTGAAGTCTGAATTGGGCCTGGCACTTGGAGAAATGGGATTTGAAATTCCTCCTGGAGAAAGCTCAGAATCTGTTTTCTCCCAAGCAACATCAGAGTCATCTTCTGCATGTTCTAGTCCCTTTCATCCTAGTAGAAGAACTGGAGTACCCGCTAGTGACTCAGCGCGCAAACCTAAGGCCCATCGGGTACCAACCAAGAAAGTATTTCGAGCATCAGTGGCCCTGACGCCAACTGCTCCTTCTAGAACAGGCTCTGTGCATTCGCCTCCAGAAGTGGAAAGTTCTGAGGAAGTTGGTGCAGCTGAAGAAGCCTCAGAGGCTGTAGGACCTAAATCTGAAGTGGAAGAAGGGTGTGGAAAAATCCCATTAATGCCAGCTGCTGAGGAAATGCATAAAAATGTGGAGCAAGATGAGTTGCAGCAAGTCATACGAGAGGTGAGTAAGATCCATGCTTAATAATTTATTTGATGATATGTGTTGGAGGAGGTCTTTTAAAAACATTAATTGTTTATAAGATATTCCTTTGATTGACTGTATTCAGTAATTTTCATATTTTAAATTGACCTTCCCTTTGGTCCAGCTATGTCTATTAAGATATTTTTGTAATGTTTGTAATGGCATTTTTGCAACTTCATACTACAGTGTGAAATAACTACAGTTCTGTATTACTCTGGCAAAGAAGGTGTTTGTAGAGCTCGAAATACATAAACATGTGACAAACCCTTTAGGTCTGTTTCCACATTTGTAAAATGAGAGATTACAATTTAGATCTCTTCCAGGATATTATGTCATTTTATAATGTCAATTTACATGAGAAAATGGTGTTGTGACTTTAATAAGTATAAATAATTTGCTTGGTTTAGTGGGTGGAGAAATATGGAGTTGCTCAAAGATAGAAATACAGAATGAAAAGGTTTACCCTGAAGGATAGCAGTGTGCAAAGCTGAATCATGTAACCATAGTTCTAGTAACCAACAGGACTACAAAAAATTAGGAAAGTGAGTGCTCAAAGGTCAAAAGTTAATTAAGAAAATTAGCAAAATATCTGTTTTGGGCACTAGGATCAGGTAGTAAGAAGGAACAGTATATTTAAAAAGGGAGACCAAGCTGTATTCTAATAATCATGTTTGAGACAAACTCACATTTTCAGAACAAGCATTATAGCAGGAGCGACTAGATGTATGTAATTTCTTTTCCTGCCATGAGATACCAACTTAAAGTTCGAAAGGTCTTAATTTTATAAGTTATTTGTCCTTCAGATGTAATTATTTCTTAAGTTGGTTGTGGCTGGGTTCATCAAGCTCTGTTCGTGCAACTTGCTCAGTTAAGTATGACTGATTATCATCTATTCTTATTTATATGTTTCATGTCAGAGATCTGTTTTTGAGTGAAATTAAGTAATTGTTTTTCTTCACACTATTACTTGTTAACTGAGGAAGCAAGTTCTACGGTATTTTTTCCCCCCTTAGAAATGTGATATTTTTGTAGCTTGTTTTGGTTTGGAAGTTTTCCTTGAAAACTCAGCTTTATGTTGCTAATTTTTCACAAATACTCCCTTAATGCATACTTGAGTCTTCATTTTTAAAGTCATTAATGGATGGCCTGATTGAGCTGTAGGTAGTTTCCTAGGAGTAAATCATTCCTAGACGAGAGGGCATTGATCCTTTGACTCAGGACATAGCATATAGAAAGTTGGTTGTTCTTTTGGTTCTAGAGACTTACTTAAACATCTATAAGAACCTCCCATTAAATGTAGAATATTTTATAATTTGAAGACACTTAAACTGATATGCAAGGCAAATGTTTCAAAAACTTGAGAATTTGTTACTAAACCATTAATTAGAGACTCCCTAAGTCAGGATTTGGCATAGTTTGGAGGAAGTTGGGCTTAACATTTATCCTTTTACTGTGTGCAGGGGAAAAAAAAATGACTTACCAAACAAAATATACAGATCAAACAATGTGAAAGAGGAATATTGGTGTAGTTAAGAAAATAAACTATTTTGAAGCACTTTAAAAGCATATATTAATTGATAAATTAGTCCAGTGTCATTTATAATTAAAAAATAATTTGTGTTAATATCACCTTAACTCAGTTGTAATTGTATTCTGTTAAATTTTGTTTACAACGTATCTAAAATTCAGATTAGTCTTGATTCCATTTATTTCAAATCCATAATCTTTTTACCTAAATACACTTGGTACTGAATTCCAGTGGTTTTTTTTTTAAGCTTATTGTATCAGCTACCAAGAAAATTAAATTAGATTCTGTCTTGCCAGTAAATTCTGGGCCCCTGACCCCATTAACAAAGCCACTATTCAGGAAGGAAGCTTTAAGCTTGTGTTGAACAGTTTTGCAGGTGAGGATTAAGCGTGTTTGGCAGACACTTTCAGGGAAGTTTTCTTAATGCACTCATGGATGCATGAAAACAATGATGTCTGTCAGGCCTTTCTTTCCGTCATTTTACCATATCTGAAGTTTTTAAAAAGAATGCTTTCATTATTTATAATGTGTTAATACAGCAGAATTCTTCATTCGAAGGACAATATTGAAAGTCCTTTCAGACAAATGGTTAGTACACTCAATCAATAACTAAGATTTGTCAGATTAAAGATACCCCTTTTCTGTGCAGACTGTGTATTTTGTAGTGGGGAAAGAACACTCTCCTGGAATTTGCCCTGGTGGTCCACGATGTATGTAATCAGTGGCCTGAAAAAGTAACTAAATGGAAAGATTACTGAATAGAATGAACGAACCTGTGCCCACAGTAGCAAATTCAACAGAATTAAACTTCAAAGTGTGAACATAGAGTGCTTTGTGTTTAGAGAGTTGGTCTTTGTTTATTGAAGTTCTTAGGCTTGACTCACACCTTTTAGTATCTTCATTACCAGTCATCTGACATGCTTTAAACATGTATTTTGGTAAATCCTCAGCTTGACTATGTTCTTATTATAACTTTTGTTAGTGATTGTCTCATATAATGGCTGCCACAAAGTTGTCACTCACTACATGTATATTAAATGGATGTGTTGCTTCATACTTCAGACTTGCAGTTGATACCAGACACAATGGCTCCGAGGCCACCTGTCACCTCTTGAGCCAAATTAAGCAGAGACAGGGTTAAATCATATATGAGCGTTTATTCCAGTAATGCTGGCAATATGGGGAGAGCAGTTGGTCACTCTGGAAATTCTGCTCTGACTCCCCTCACCAGTTAGCTGATTATATATGGGTGAGGGAAAAGATAACTACATGCAGCTGTGAGCTACAAGTATAATGGGAAGGGGAGGGGAGGGTCTGCTGTCGGCCTTCGGGAGCTCAGAGTCCGATAACCAGGGGGCTAAATCTTCTATGATGTTGCAAACAGCTCAACCCATTCCTGGGACCAGAGAATGGTCAGTGTTCCTGAGACAAATTCCCAGAGGGGGTCAGGATCTGGGCACAGCAACCAAATCAAAGCATGTCCTGTCCTTGGTCTGTTCTCAAAATGTGTTTCTTTTCTGAGTAATGGACGCTTCGGGGCATCTTATCTTTTCACAGCCTTGTTTCAGCCTCCAGTTTCCCAGGGCCTGTAAGAAAACCTCTTATCTATGGTTAGTAAGGTTAGTAAGGATTATTAAACAACTGTGGCTCTATGCTTATTTTGTGCTATTCCTCTCTATCACAATCAGTCTGTTTATATTGCCAGTGAGCATTCCTTTCTTAGCCTCTAGTAGCCTGTCTTTAGCCTGTATCACTTTTTGGAAATTGTGCTCATAAAGGCAACTTGACCATCCATCCCAGTAGTGTTTTCTCACTCCCAATCCTTCCAGCCTCTCTGTAGCATGGGGGACTTTAAAATTAATGTATCTCTCCATACATTAAATCCTTCAATAAGCTGTTAAAAGCATTTTATCATTTTCAGTGCTAGTTTGTCATCCTTTGTTTTTCTACTTTCTGTTTCATTTTATGTGTGATGTGGTCTCTCTTGTGCTCTCTCCCTCTGTCTCTCACACTCTGTCATTGATCCAAACATGTATTGAGCATTTATTTTATGCCAGGATACATTGATAAATGAGCCCCAATTCTCTCCCTGAAGTAGCTCACAGTAAACACTTTCCATTTGAACTCACCCTTTCTATTCTAATTCCCGCCCACTCCCAGCAGGAACTGTCTTGTCGGCCAGGCTCCTTTTTGCTCGCACCTTCATCCAGGGTGCTCCTCCTACAATTTTCTGTTCTCACTGTCGTCTGAAATCATCTTTCCTTTTTCATGACCTACCACATTAACGTTGGCCATTCTCTGAGAATTTTTTATTTTCTCTTCTAGCCCAAAGTGGTCTCTCATTTTTCAAGATTTGTTCCATTCTTATATCATTAATGAATTAATAAATTATCTTTCCTCTTAGTATTTTATGAAACAGTATTCATTTTGTTTCCGTCTAGATTATGACGTCCTTGATGGTGAGACTTTTATGCTTTTCTCCACTAATGTCTGTACTCCCCAGATATGTTGGCACATATTTTTGGTTTGTAAATAATAGTTTTTACAAGTTGTTTTTTTTTTAAGTTTTTTTACATATATATATTTTTATTGATTTCAGAGAGAGAGAGGGAGAGCGAGAGAGAGATAGAAACATCAGTGATGAGAGTCATTGATCGGCTGCCTCCTACACGCCCCCTACTGGGGATGGAGCCCACAACCTGGGCATGTGTCATGATTGGGAATTGAACCATGATCTCCTGGATCATAGATCGATGCTCAACTGCTGAGCCATGCTGGCTAGGCCAACTTTGGTTTTTTGAATGTTGATGAATGATGAAATTTAATCAAATTGCCACATTGCATTGAACAGCAGAACTGGAAAGACTGCTGCTCATTGTCTCCTATAAATACAGATGTGCAGTGGTTCTGATCCAACACACAGTGTGTTTGTGCTTGTATATTGTGGCTAAGAGATTCTGGTTTTCATAATATTTGTATCTAACACATTTGTTTAAAAAATGAATTCGGAGTGCTATGAACTTCAAAAGCTTTTGATGATGTTTAAAGTTTAGAATATTGGTAGAAGATAGAATGATAAGCTTGTATTTATTTGAATATATTCCAGTGAAGATGGTTGGTAGCTAAAGAGCATCTGTTTCTGTGTATACTTATGTTATAAGTGTATGTATTGTGTGTGTACCAGTTTTTCATGACAGATTAGTACAGATCCATTTTTGGAAAGACTTCGACTGAAATGTGTTCAGGATGTACTTAGAAACATTTTAGGAAATAGATCAGGCTGACAGGAAACTGTGGAAATGTAGAATTTTTAAAAGCTGATTGAGAGTGTCTCAAGTGCTAATTTTGGAAGGTATTATCAGTTTATTTCAGGAAATCACATTTACAGTCTTTACAAAGGGCTATTTGGAGGAGATGCTATATCATAAGAGAGAAAAAGGCATGGATAGGCATGTGTAGTGTTTGGGTATCTGGAGAAGAAAATCTTGATGGAAGCGTCATTGCCCCTAGGCCTGTTTGCCCTTTCTACCAATAAAATGAGATGTATATCCTTACCTGAAGCCAAAGTTTCAGACAGGTGACAAACATACCATACAACTAAAGAAAAAATTATGTTTTTAGAGTTTATGGTCATTTAAAGAATGTTTTTCATGTTTTAAAATAATCTGTGCTAAATGATCATTTCTTTCTACTTAAAGTGTGAGTGTTACATTTAGAACAACATATAACTTCTTTAGATAGTCTGCTTTCAGTTGGTATAAACAGACAAAAACCTGTGTATTGTTTTGCCGCGAATGGGTTTTCTTAACAATGAGAACATTGAGCGTTCCTGCTGGCTACCATACAAATGTGGACATTAATAAGAAACATAAAAATGAATCTAACGTTTAATCACTTCTTCCAGGCTATTTTGTGTCATGAACAAATTATTTAATAGAAGTTTTTTAACCTATAACATTTTTTGCTAATGTTCTCAACTTAAGAAATTGATATTTTATAATGTAGTTGTCTGAATTTTGGTCAACCAGACCTAGAAGTCTGATCTGGGTTAGAAGAGAGATGAAAGTGATTCCCTTCTCCCTCTGTATTGCATGAGGTTCACAGGGAGGTTGTCATTTTCTTCATGGTTTAGGTGATTGCAGACATGAAATGCTATTTATGTTTTTTTGAAAACAAGAAATGGATTATAGTTATATTCCTGAATTCTTATTTTTCTCTGTTTCCATTCTAGATTAAAGAATCTATTGTTGGGGAAATTAGACGGGAAATTGTAAGTGGACTTTTGGCAGCAGTGTCTTCAAGTAAATCATCTAATTCTAAGCAAGATAGTCATTAAATGGAATTAATAGGTAAACTTACTGAATTTTTTTGTTTAGATAAATGTAAAATAGTACTTAGTTTTTAATGCTTTGCTTTCTTAGTACACAGGTCTGCTTCTCTAATGAAAGTTTAATTTTTAGAATGTATGTTATATATTACCCTGCAGTGTGAAAACTTCATACAACCCCTTTTGAAATGCAAATCGAAATCTTATAATACTAACCTCCAAGAGATTGTTATACAGAGTGAGGCAAAAGTAGATTTACAATTGTTTGTACAGAAAATAATACGATAATTAATAAATAATAATACAAGAATAACCTCTCTGTTTCCTGTATCACAACTGTAAACCTACATTTGCTGCACCCGTTATATCATTTTACTGAGATTTCATTATAATAAATAAATGCTGGACTTGGGGAAATCAGTACCCCCAAAGCTGAGTCTTATTTTGATTGCATTGGTTATAATGGTATTTCAGATGTACAATTTATGGACCAAGATTTTGAGAATCACAAATTCTTAGTACCTTTTCAATTTTTGCCTTTTTTTTTTTTTTTAAACCTTAGTGGTTTCTTTTTTTTTT